CAAAAAAAAATTTCAACTGGACTTGGCACCACTTTATAATTTCAAATATTCTGAGTGACGAATATTGGAAAAAAAAACCTGTCATGCTAGATATCTCGAAAACCGTCAATATTTTCGAAGTGCAGATATACATAAAGTTTATTTTATTTTCTATGAAGAAACCGAAAAAGCGATAAAAAATATAGGTTGCCATTTAAAAAGACACAGTTGGGATCCGCCCAGAAAAAATCGAACACCCTGTGTGACCGCCAATATTTTTATTTTGTCGAGCTCGAGCAATAAGGTAAATAAGGTAATATTATAGAAAATTAGATTCCTATCTGCTTCCTATATAGAGATATGGAACACCGCGCCACTGTTGCAGGACCCTGTATAATATATAACTACATTACAGTTGTTAGTTAAAGAAAGTTTTTACTGTATTACTCACAGTTCAGTCCTCGAAACATTTAAAAATCTTCATTTTTGAGAATATAAGCGAAACTCTAATAATGTTCAGAAGATTGAACTCATACAAAGATAACGACTAGTTTTGATCCAAATATATGTTTTCTGATCCAAACAGGATTATTCCCGAATCAGTGCAATGGCTTCTTGCGAATGGAAAAAAAGCTGAAGCGAAGCAGGTTATATTGAAGGTAGCCAAAATAAATAAAGTAACCATATCCAATTCGTTAAAGGATTACCTAGATAAAATGTCAGTGATTAAGGTGAGTACAAAAAAATTGATTGAATTCAATGATAATGTGAAATGAGAATGTAAATACAATACAGAAAGAGAAAGGAAGATGTCCAGTCTACACTAGAAAATTTTGTAGCGATTGATTGGTTTTTTGGAATCCCAATGAAATTTTCTTGAGTTTTGGTGTTGTCAGCCTTACATAAAAAATAATTGGATCTATATCGATAGAGAACCTGCTCATGTGTGAACTGAAAAGCTCACTTTGAAAATTCCTGCCCAATTCAAATACATTTGAAAGACATTTTTTGTGGAGTCAATCTCTCTTACGGTTTTCAGATGTTAACCTTCCACAATATGAGAAATAAACAAGGCCAAAGAATTTTTTTTAAATTATCATCATGAATAGAATAATTAATCTGAGTGTGAGCCCCCTTGGGACTTCGTCGCACTCCCCGGGCCTTCACCCCTGAGCCACTTCGTCACGTACCAGTCACGTGATCCTAGTGGTCAATGGCAGCTGACGGAAATTGAATTTAAAAAGCAATCGTTATGAGAATTGAACCAGGTCATCGGCGTGATAGATGTTGTCATTAGCCTCGATACCAACGTGTGATGTTGGAAGTAATTGCGAACTGTTTCCACTTTTGAGAGTTGTCGTTCGTAAGGGTGCCACAGCTGGTTATCGGAAAAACAGTTTTGAACAAAATTACCATGTAGAAGATAGGGAAATATCCTCAAGCCTTGTTTTCCTAGCGACGTATTTTTCGCGTCGCGTGCGACGTGTTACGCCCAGCTTAATACGTCGCCTACTCCTCCATAGGGATCCAATAGGAATGTTTTCCTAAAGAGCGCAACACGTTCCACGCCAACGTGATGCGCTCAACGTGTTAGACCTGGCTTTCTGTTTCCATTCTATGCAATTAGGAGGGGGCAAAAAATAGACACAAACCTTTTCGAAGGACAGTCAACACCTTAGGTACTATCGTGCTTTTCGCAGACGGCGATATGCGGTATCTAAGAGCCAGTAACCTCTACGATGTCGGGCCATCAGTGATGCCATCAGTACCACATCATCTGCGGCCATGAAGATCTTTCCAGATCTACCTCCTCTTCACATTTTTCTGAAGAGAGAAGCTAGATGGACTGCATATAGGCTTGTGCACATAGCCAATTGCACAAATCAAATTCAACAGACTGTTGGTTGACACTGGAAGTCACAGCATTCTGGAAATGACCTCTGACTTTATACCTCCAACTATCAATTACGAACTGCCTTATAAAGTACTGTTTCCGAGTAGAGAGGATTGGATCCTCCGGAAGAAGCCCATATGTGGTAATTATGAAAATTAATAATCTTGTCCCGAGAAAAACTACATTCGTCTGTGAATTCTATCGTCTTCAGAAAGTCACAATACCGTCATATGATCAACATTTAGCTGTAAAGCAATCTTTCTAGTACTGGTATAGGTTGTTCTTCAATCAAATTAAGTACTGCTTCCTCAATCCTGCCTTCTTTTGTCGAATGAACCATATTCTCGTAATCGTTGATGAAGTCGAGCAAATATTCTATGTTGAGTGAATTATTAAAGTAACGAATTAAGAACGGAACAACAACACACAATTAGTATTAATTCAATTTCGAAAATTCACAAACTGACAGCGTCACACCAATTTAATTGTCACTATCGCTAATAGCGACCTACTAGGTAGATTAGTTTCGTATTTTCGCATTTATGTCGATGTATCTCTGTAGTTGTTCGTAAAATAATTTTTTGCTGCGAACTGGTTTATGTTGGGCAAAAAACCAAAGAGACATTTTTTGTTTAGAATGAAACAGGCTATTGAAAATATATTTTTAAATGGTAAACAAATGATAAAACAAAAAGTTACATCGGAAATAAATTTTAGGGGTTGCGTTTTTCACCCCTTACAACCATGGGGTAAACCAAATGAATTACTGGCTAAGTTTCTTTTTGGTAGTACGAAACGTCAGGTCAATTTCAATATTGTAACTTTTTTAGTACTTGTGAAAAAATTGTTATACAAATTTTATGTACCCTCTTTAAGGGGCTGTATCTTAACAAGGGATGCTCCAATGAAATTTGTTTATATGGAAGATCCTATCTTTTTTTCGATGAGGAATCACCTCCCCAAATGTTATACACTTATTTAGTGTATATCAAACATCCAATAATTCCCAAGGTTCAGCATTCTCAATCAAATAGTCAATCGATAAAGTTTTCAATCCAGCATTGGTAAAATCCCGCACAGATTTATCTACAAGCATTTTGGCAGACATTATGAAGAAGAAACTGTATTCACAGATGTCCACAATTGCTCGGGGCTAAATTTTGATACTGATCACAAAACATCTAACAATTCCATTGGAGGTTCGAGACTACCGAAACTAACAAAATATTGTACAGCATTTCCGATTTTAATGTAAGCTACCCATTGAGTGCCTGCATTCAATTGAAAATATAAGTTAGATACAGCACATTCTCGCAGCCGAGGGCCACAATTTGGTAACGTGTTACGCATAAAGACTCCACGAAAATGCGGAATTTTCAGTTACCGGGCATATTTTCAATTTCCAAATCATATAATGCTCTATGGGTTAGCTTCAGTATGATTTTTTTGCTTTTTCAAGTGAACACCTCGTCCTATGCGTTGATGTTGTTTCTTTAGGAACAAACTAAATCCTCGAGATGTTTTGGGTAGGTATAAATCGAAACCCAAATGTTCCATAGCTTTATTGTGACATTGATCTTCTTCCAGTCTCTTTTTGGCATTTTTAGCATCTATTACAGTTTTTGCGATAGCGCCTGATCCACCTGCCAACGAACCCAAAGCTGAAAGGGCAGCGAATATAGGTACTAGTTAGGATTCCTCCAGATTTTGCTTCAAATGGGATCATCCTAGGTATCGGTATGTTTTTTTCATCCTCCAGCTTGACTCAATGCTATTTTAGCAACCGCAAAGCCGAAGCAGTAGATTTCTCAATATTGGTAGGATGTGACTTCCAATTTCAGTAATTTTCTGAAGCATATCACGTCGAAAGGACAACCCCATGCCAAGCTTACGTTTCGCATTCATTGTTGTAGTTACGAGCCAAGCTGCAGCTTTTTCGCCAAATCTAGCGTCTTTCGATTTACCGCGTTTTCAAGCTCAATTTTTTAACACTTCATCTGCTTTATGACGGTCTTCTAGGGAGTTGCTTTGAGAATATGCGATAATGTGATCTTTACAATATTCGTTCAAAGATATACACCGGTGTCACGGCGTTTCAACATCTTTTTCAATTTGGTGCCTGGTCCACAAAACGAATAACCAGAGACATGTACTTAGAACGGCGATTCGAAGATACCTGCACTGAGAATGATTGGGTGATGATTGAAATATTTTTATGTATAACCGTAGCGCACTCATTGTCCAACATCACATCATTAAAGTCGTTCAACAAGACAAGATATTACTTATTGAAAATTAAGACTTTTTGAATGAAGCCAACAATATTAGTATGGTTGGGAAGCATGGTATATTCGTGCAATCATTTGTGGGCCGAATGGTTGTGGAAAGACAAGAAAGAAGAAGAGAATAGAAGCATTTTTCATTCAAACGCTTTCATTTGTATAAATCAAATAAACTCATTTACTTCATCAAAGATGAACTGTTTATGAACTGTCCCTCTCATATGGACGTCTTAGGTTACTTGAGTCCAAAGTATCTCATTTGTAATATGAACAGCTATAAGCGGTAAGGAAAGAAATTAAATAATACATTATATATTATGATTGATTTACTTGAAGCAATTCATAAATTTTATCCTGAAAAAGCATATGATAAAAAACAAAATGTAATAAAAAACTAAATTTTTATTGCTAATCTTTGCTTAAATGTCATATTCCAACTGCACATCTGAAAATCTGAAATCATACAGTTATACAAATAATAAATAAATATTCAATCAGAAAACATATATTAAAAGAAGTGACACATGGAAAAGAAAGTTTTTGGCTTTCTACTACTCCATCTGATACAAAAAAAATGGATAAGAGAATCTTCCAAAGAAAGGAAGGAAGTAATCAATTTGAAAATAAGTAACTCTATACATGGATGTGTAGATCATGCAAAGAAGTAACTTTCAGACACAAACTGAAAGAAAGTCCTCCTGAAACAGCTNTTCTCATTGTGTGCAATGCAGAAGAAAATTACAAGTGTGATATGTGCGAAATTTAACATTGAAATACCTATAAGGAATAAGGATTTGAGTTTAGTTAGTAATACATTTCAATATTTGAAAATGAGAATTTTAAATACATTTTTATATGTCTAGTTGTATAATTATTTTTTGGGTGATCTCATGAACATTTACCGAATATAATTATGAAGAATTATAGGTATACCTACTTATTGAGATAGAGTTTTGGATGGCCGAGAACCGATATAAAAATGGTCGATGAGGGGTGGCTGAGAACCAGTATTTTTTCAGTTTTTCAGGTTTTTTTGCCGAAAGGATTGAAGTAACAAAAAAAAACATTTCGGTGATTATTAACAACACATGACTCAATATTTTTCATTCGAAGCAAATTTCAATTTAAAGCCGTTTTCTGTACTTAATTTTGAAACAAAGTCGTTTTTTTCACTAAAAGGCCGAGAACCAGTACACTGACCCTATATCAAAACTATGAAAATGGGAAAAATTATATTGAAACCAGCCGTAATTCCGCATATATTTGATTGCCAGATTGATAGACCGACGGCCCATACATCTAAAGCTTTAGCGTTTGTTCAAAAAAAAGAAAAAACAAATTTTGTTGAATACTTGTAACGAAGATATCGCTGAAAATCAAATCATGTGTGATGAAGCAGGTACACAGGAAAAGATCTTTGATGTTGGAATTCAAGTTAATAAACAAGTTTTTCAAAGATCAAAAGCTAAACAGACCGTAAATATTACATACCACCGAAAAAAAAATCGTTCTAAAGAAATAGAAAATACAGAAAGTATTGAAAAAAAAAATACTA